TCCTCAAAAAGAACACACAACCCTAGGCAATTAACGTATGGTTTCATTGAACTTTTTGTAGTAGGTGCTATATGTCTCCCAATATTTAGCTGTTTCCATTTTTGGAACAGAGGGTCTCTATCGGGCCAGTAAAATCATGACTGAGTAATGACATTATTCTTTTTTATATTGCAGTGAAATTTATCTTATAGCATATTATGTTTTCTTTCCAAGTTTCTACATGCTAACTCTTTTTAAAATAAAGTATCCTCAAATACCACCAACGTTAAAATATAAAACACAAATCAAAACAATGTCCTTTTTTTAATGAATGTTATGAAAAAACTCAGACAATTTCACCATAGAATACAAAATCTTCAAGGCATATCAAGACAAGAAATAAGACCGATATGCTGATTTCTCAAATGTCATGGTCCCCCATAGAATTTGACTAGGACCAATATCAAAGATGATATATTTGGCTTTCAGACTTGAGGTATATTATAGTACAATGTCTGTGCAAGCAAGTTCTGTGCAAGGAGACTCAACTGCAACTTTTATCTTTATTATAACGAAAGCCACTGCCTAGATAACAAAAAGAGGAAGTATAGTTAGACAGAAGAGTACGGAGCATTTATTACAGCATTATGATTTCATTCCGTACTTCTTCAAAAAGTGGAATTACATCATTTCCAATCCATGATGGCTGACTGGTGTGAAGTGGAATGGGCCATAAGCACCTTGAAGTACATTTCTGTTGCTCTATGCAGTTTAACTTCACAACAAACATGTGAGGTCAGGCAAAATTAAAAAAAAAAAATGAAGAAAAGGTCACACAGTCAAGTTTTGTGACTATGTGAGATTTGAACATAAATCTCATCAGACTTCTTGCTACTCCACAATATTGTTCTTCTTTGACAAAGGTACAGAGCTAATGGGATATTGGTGAAGTATAGCTCTCTGCAGTCCTAGCAATTATATTCAAAGGGAAAAAATATTGGATATTGTCGTTCAGCAGTATCTCTAGAACTGCAAATTCCCCAGTAGGGCCCTATGTTGGTAGTTCTTTTTTTCCACCACGTATGTGCCTCAGAATGATTGCACTGATGTAAGAGTGGGGCATGAGCTGTGGGAAGAGCGCGTTTAAGATTTATTTTAACACGGAACCGCATACAGACATGCCTTAAAGGGCAAATGCTATAATACATAAACACTTGAAAAGATCGTGAGCTATTTCACCGTCTACTTTATAAAAACCTCTTTGAAAAAATTGTGATCTTGAACAAAGGAATGGCACAGAAAGTAAGACACTTAATAATCCTAGGTGTATTCTTGAAATCAGCAGCATTTTAGCTACTGTACTTAAAACAAACAAAAGCCATGGATGTTTCAAAAAGAGAAATGGCAGGCAAGAGACGGGCTGTACGTTGCTGTGTCTAAAACATTGTTTTCTTTTGAAAAAAATCCAAATGGTGAAAAGGAAGCTAGTACTCCATTTGTTCATGTGAAGGATATGCTCAACAGCAAATACACACACACTCTTCAACTATACAGCCTGACATTATGAAGCTATTCCTATGTAAGTCAATGGAGCATATATATAGTCTATCATGTCTCATAAGGCCTTCCCAAAAATGAATTTGTTTCCAAAGCAGCAGGGATCAAATCAGAATCCCATTTAATGCCATTTTGGGCTGAATGAAATTAAACTATCTTTGATACAACTACCTGCATGCTACCCTGTTTCTCCAACAATACGGCCTCCCCCAATAGGAAGTCCCAGCATGTTTTATAGGCATGAAATGAAATTAAGCCCCTCCCTCCAAATTAAGGCCTATATTAAAACATGCGAAATGGTGGGAATGTGGGGGGGCTTGCTGTTAGGAAGTACTTTTGTTGCACACCCGGATATGGTGCTGCCTGGGTTGACCCCGATACGAAGTGCCCCACCAACGCCGAGGTCAACATCCAAGCCGCCCACCCGCCCGAAGATGCAAGGGGAGGGAATTAAGTCACCCCCCGAAAAGATGGCCTAGCCATTTTTTCAGGGCTCAAAAAAAAAAGAAGACCCGGCCTTATTATATGAGAAACACGGTATATATGTAAAAGAGCATGCTTTGCAACAGCAGTTCATGGATTTAAAATTAAAAAAAATAAAACCATGACAGTGTTCCATTCTCAATACCAATTCACCAGTAAACTGTTACCAGAAAAAGTCGTGTATATCAACTATTTGTTACAGAGTTATGTTAGAAGTTCAACTTTTTTACATTATTTGTTTTTTTTTTTAAGTAAATTCCTTTCCCTGACAGAAACGTGCATACTTTAAACAAGAATATAGAGGCAGTGTGGTCTAACGGTTAAGGCACCAGGCTAGAAAGCAAGAGACTGTGAGTTTCTGATCTTAGCCATGAAAGCCCAGCTAGTTGACTTAGGGCCATTCGGTCTCTTTCTGCTCACCTCACGGGGTTGTTGCTGTGGGGAAAATAGGAAGAGGAAGTGTGTTGAGTATGTTTGCCGTAAAAATAATAAAGGTGGGATACAAATCAATAAAATTAATTAAAATATATAACGTATAATAAGACCATATAAGAGAGAACCTCTCTCACTCTTAGATAGCTACCAATGTTTCCCTGTAGTAACCAAGCAAAATACTTTGCTTCTAGATTTTTAAATTGATTACTATTACACTTTTGCAACTCTTGTGGCTGTATTTATCACTTTTTTTAAAAAAGCATCTCTATTTACATTTCTTATGTTTCATTTTTTTACCTGCGAATGTATTTAAATTCTGAAATAAACAGTGGATACAGCATCCTATAGTCATAGTATCAAAAGGTAATACATCTTGGAGGTCATCCAATCCAACCCCTGCTTCATAGCAGGATTCACTAGAGCATCTCTGAAGATGACCATCTAGCCAATCTTGAAGATCCCAATAAGGGAGAACTCAATACTTCACAAGACAGGCTGGTCTATGGGCTGATTGCTCGTCCGGTTATGAATATCCTCCTGATGTCTAGGATAAACCAACTTCTTTGTGCAGGTAGTCCTCGAATTACGACAACCGAGCCCAAAATTTATGTTGTTAAGTGAGTTTTGCCCCATTAGACAACCTTTCTTTCCTCAGTTAAGTGAGTTACTGCAGTTGATAAATTAGTAACTTGGTCATTAAGTGAATCTGGCTTCCCCATTGACTTTGTTTGTCAGAAGGTCACAAGAGGTTATCACATGACCTTGGGTCATTGCAACCTTCATAAATATGAACCAGTTGCCAAGCATCTGAATTGTGATCTCCTGTTCATGAGGGTGCTGCAGAGGTCATAACTGTGAAAAATGGTCCTCGGTCACTTTTTTCAGTCCCTTCGTAACTTTGAATGGTCACTAAACAAACTGTTGTAAGTCAAAGACTACCTGTAGTTTTAACATACCTGTTCTAATTTTGCACCTTGAGCAATAGAAAAATAAAACCCACTCCTCCTACATTACAGATACTGCTATCATATCCCACTCAATCATCTCTTCTATAGGCTAAACATATACAGGACCTGTTAACGGCATAAGAAAATATCAGCAACTTAAAGTCCTTTTAACAAGAACAAGAAGAAAAGACTTCAGGTGTGAATAACTTCAGAACCTGAGTGTGCTCTATGTCATCATAGAGCAATTAAAATGGGGGGAGTAGGAATCAATTCTCTATGTTGCCAAATAACTCACAAAATGCACATGCATGCATTCACAACCATCTAAACTTGACGGATATTATAACATACCTTCCATCTCCCTCTCTCTTTTTTAATGCAAAGCAATACCGGGAGCAAGCTTTGAAATTTTATCGATACCACCTAACATGCTCATTGTTGATATAGTAAGTTAGAAGCTGCCTACTTCACTGCTGACAGTTGCAGATTATATTCAGCTCAGCTAAGACTAGGGAACGTCAGCTGAGGCTAGAGAGTACATAGCAATGGAGAAGAGGGAATTACATCACAGAATTATTCTTTTCACTGTACCTAGCGTTTTGTCTTTTTACTAATGTCACTAACACTCAGTCTCTGTCTGAGAAAATGCACCAGGCAGAATAAGATGAATTGGACATCATTCCTAGAAATTAAGAGCAAACCTAAAGGCATTGTTAAGGAGATACCCCTCTGGAAATATCCACGGAGGACCCAGCGCAACCCACTTCTTGGGAAGGAACTGATCTTCTTTCTGGGCTGATAACAGAGCAGCAGCTGTGCACCTCCTGTTATCTTCACTGGTCCTGCAATGGTTGCCTGGCATAAGTCCTTTGACAGGGCACAAAGTGCTCCCTACAGGGAAGCTGTCTGATCATCTTTCATTCAGTAATAAGCACTTTTTAAACTCACGTTTGACAACCAGCCTGAACTAATAATGGAAACAGTCTTTAGTTTATTTGTTGCGCACCACAGGAGGAGGAAAGCGCCTCTTGTTATGGCAACATCCACTTTTTTAAAAAAAGCTTTTTCGGTCTACTTGTGTCAAAAAGTGGTCCCGAGTGATAATTACAAGTCACCTTTTATTTGTTGTACGAGTGCAACCCATCTTAGCTGGTCAGTTGAATGGACCAAAATGGGATATTCTTTAACCGGCTTGCACCTCTTTATTCTCCGTTAAAATCATAGGGTTTTTTTTTTTGTTTTTTTTTTTGAAGAAAAGATTGCAAAAGTATTTTTCCTGCCCTTTCGAAAAAACGGCGGCCGAATGGAATTCTGAGGTTGCATCCAGAACCTCGGAAGGGGGGGAGCACCGGCAGATGCCGCATGTCCCGTTCTCCCCCACGGGAAAGCGGATCGTCCATTCATCTCAAACACTAATTAGGAACCGGGAAAGATGTGAGGCTGGCAAGAGCCCACCCGTGGCTGGACGATCCACGCGTCCATTCGCTTCGCAAAACTCCGGCCACCCTTTCATGCGCCGCCCACTCCCTCCGCACACCAAGTTTTGGGTTTTTGTTTTTTTTAAATAAATGAATTATTATTTTCGCCGTCCCCGCTTACCTTCCAGCCAGCCGAGCTGTTGCTGTCGCCCTTATCCTTGAAGTAGGGCACGCAGCGCACCATCCACTCGTAGATTTGGGACAGGGTGAGGCGCTTCTCCGGCGAGCTCTGAATGGCGCGGGTGATCAGGTCCGCGTACGATAAGTTCCCCCACGCGTTTCTCCGGGACGAACATTTCCGCGGCGCTGCCGCTGTTCCCGCCGCCACTGGCTGAGGCTGCTGCCCGCCGCTCAACGCAGAGGCGCCAGCTCCCTCCCCGGGCAGCCCGGAAAAGGGAACCAGCAGCCGGGCCGTGTCCTCCGAAGCAAGAGCTTCGCCGGCACCGCCGGAGACGGAGAGGCCGGCGGTTGAGGTGCCCCCTTGCTCCTCATCGTCAGCGTCGTCGTCCTCCTCGGGAATCATGGAGGCGGCGTCGGCGGCCGCGTCTCCCGAAGGCTTGGCCGGGCTCGTTTGAAGCTCGGGCCTTTGCAGGGGCCACGTACAGGAGCGAGGACGGCTCTGGGGCTCGAACTCCGGGTCCAGCTCCACGTCCAGAGGGGACAAGGGCGCGGGGGGAGACACTTCAGCCATCTTGGCCTCCCCCGCTTTTGAGGCGATCCCTCCTGTCCTTTCCCGCTGTCAGACGGGAACCCGATCCACGCTCCGGTCCTTTCTCCTCGCCCAGCTCCCTGCTAGAGATTAGCGAGCTGGAGCGAGCACGCCGCTCTCCATTCAAGGTCCGGCCGCCTCCTTCCTGCCCGCCACCTCTCGCTCTCTCGCTCGCCTCCCGCTCCTGAGAAAGGAAAAGTTCTAAGGCGATCCGCAAGCGATCCGGGGGTCTCCCGGTTGCAGGTCAGCTCTCTGTCCGCTGCCCTTTGAGGCTGACCGATTTGGGAAGCATTTCCAAAGACGGCGGAGCTGGAATCAAATCGCGGCTCTGCGCCCGCGCGTTTGTTTATCTTTCGCTACGCGTCGGAGTCGTCCAATAGCATCGCTCGGTAGCTATTAAAGAGACCCCCCCCCCAATTCACGCGACCCCCCGCATCACCATTATTATTATTATTATTATTTGTGTTTTTTTTAAAAAAAGAGATATTCGCGAGTCTCTCCGTTGCTGGTTTGATGGACGCCTTCGGTCTTTTACAAGTCCTTCTTCTCACCGACTTCCCAACGTCTTCACGGAGAGCACCGAAGCCTTAACAACAACCCATCCGATCGCGGCTGCCCCATTTGTGATCGCTCTTGATTCCTCCTCGGGGAAGAAAAACAAAAAGGAAAGAAAAGAAAAATCCGAAAGCGGTGAAGGAAGAGAAGCCAGTCTTTTTTATATTATTATTTTTTTGGAGCAAGGAGAGGAAAACTTAAAACGCCCGTCCTTCTTCTCCCTTCTCCTTCTTTTAAATCCTCTCCCTCGGCGTAAAAAGAAAGTGACGCGGAGAATTCAAACAAGTCCAATCGCCGACCTTCCAACAGGTCCGGAAACCCAAGTCCTCCGCGGGCTCCCGAGCTTTCGTTCCAGCCTCGGCACCAACCACATTCATAACCTCCTCGCTCCTGCTGCCATCTTGACAGTTTCCCCCCCCCTCCCCCTCCACTCAAGTCATTTAAAAAAGAAAGCAAGCGTCGTCCAAAAAAAAAAAGAGGCAGGGCGAGAGGTCAAGCAGGCAAGGGGCCGAACGAAAGGAGCACCAGCGAGAAGCAGCCGTCTCGGAGGCGAAGCTTTAAAGCCGGACCCGTTGGGCAGGCGGAAAACCCAGCTCCAAGTGCACGGGAGGAAAACGAGGCGCCGATTCTGCCGCTGCTGCTGCTGCTACTGCTGCTGCTGCAGGATTCTTGATTTCCGAGCCGTTCCCGAGCCGTTCCACTTTAAGTAGCAGAAGGAGCATTAAAAGGAGGGGGCAACCCCCACCGTTGGCAGCACGCTCCCTCCCCGGAGAGAAAGCAAGTGGCGGAGCAGCGGCGGAAGAGACACCCTGGAGCTGCCGCCGTTCCCTCAAGCAACCTGTCGCCTTCCCCTCCGCCGACTTCCACATTCCTTCTCCTAACAACCAGGAGCGGCAACACAAAGTTATAGACACACGCAGGGAGACGCAACCTAACCCCGTCGCAGCTGATCCCCGCCCACAAAAGAGGCGGGCGAAGGGGCGAGAGCTCCGGCTCTCAGTACTACATACGCACCCGCCCGGCTGGCTGAGGGTCCGTCAGCCAACTTGGCGCCTTTCTCGGAGCATCTTTCTTTTAATTCCTCCGCCGCCAGCAAAGCGCTGATGGGATTGAACTAGCCGTGTACGATGTTGCAACCAAAAACCTGGGCATAAAGAGGAACGCGTTTAAAAAATACATTCCGAAAATCAATTTTCTCGATTGCAGTTAAAACAAAACAAAACACGAGGATGTACCTCTACGGTTCTCCGGCATTATATTTCGCTTTAAAAAAAAAAAATTCTATTCCCCTGACCTTAGCAGAGACTTTTAGAATACATAGAACCTGCAGGTCTATGTTGATCACTCTGTCCTATATTACGATAGCGAGCAAAATTTTGCAGTTCTCTCGTTTTATAACGAAGCACGGGTGGGTTGGAAAAACATCAGTGCCTTTTCTTTTGCAAAGATCTTTCCACTACTGTGTATTCTATCGAGCCATTTCTAAGAAGTGTTAAGCCAAAGATATGTATGCAACCAGTCAGAAGGACGAGGCCACTTTTAACTTTGAAATAGAAACATTGTCTTTAATTGGTAGATTAACTTTAGACATTTATTTTCTATTTCCATTTTTTAGTCAGATTAATTGGTCCTATAACAAAGGCTGGTCTAGAACTTCAGAATTACTAGAGAATGATGTGACTGTTCAAATGTGGATCCAGGCTAAGGCTATGCTGGCAATAAAATCTTAACATACAGAAGGCCTCAAGCAGGGAAGGTTTTCTTACAGTAAAATGATATTCCACCTATTCCTCTGCATATTTTTCTTAAACAATTACACCCAGAATGCCTGAGGTGAGGGAGGTTAATTGCCAAGTACCAAATCACCCTAAAATCAAACTGAGCATGAAAACTTTAGAACATCATCAGGTCATGAAATATGTGTAAATACAACTGGCTAGGCAATTACATTTTGCATAACCATGATTTATCATTACTTTTAGTAGGAAAACATTACACATTATCACATCTCCTACAGAAACATATGAACACACTTTATTTTGGCAATCACATCAGCTCAATCTTTCAGTCACTAAAAGCTAAGACCTTAGATTTTGTTACAATATTTCGTCGATTAAGAACAAATTATCACAATATTATTAATGTGTGTTCCAGTGAAGTTTATAGATGTAAGTTTTTCACCATGTATTTTAGATCACAAAAAATCTAAGATATTTTCAAGAACACGAACTCATAGGTGATTAATAATTGAGACAAACTCTAGATTTTGGACATACTGAAGATATTTACTTATCTCTGAATAGATGCATTCAACTGGGCTGCATGTCTCCGGTACAGTTTATATATCATTTGACAATCCTATTGGAGATGACCCTAGTTAAAACATAGTTAACTTTATCTGCTTTCTGATATTTTTTAAATAAACATTTCTTAAAACGTTTTAATTTTAATTTGACTCTCTTTAAAACAATAAAATGATTTTCTTATTATTTAAACTCACTTCCCAAGGGGTTGTTTCTTTTAGAAAATTCTCTTTTTAAAGTAGCTTTCCCCAATATAATACCTCCAGATGTGCTGGATTTCAGATGTTAGATAGGGATTGTGGAAGATTTCAATGCATCTGGAGCACACTTGGCTGTGAAAGGATAGTTTTTAAACAATACTTTGTGAATACAACAGTGAAACCCTGAAAAAGGCACTTTCCCTACTTTTTCTTACACCTATCCACGGGGAAAATATGTCCTAGCAATTATTATTTCTTTACTGTGCCCCCATGATAGAACCTCTGTCTCTTCCCTATTTCATCCATGAGGCATTCTTATTGGTATTGAGGCTAAAGCCATTTTTTCCCCTTTGCCCATTATTGCTGTTGTCTGAAGGCAGTTTCAACACACACAGTATAAAATCTTAGCTTTGTTCCAGCTTTGGCCCACCTATTACTCGGGAGGAAATTCAGTGACATAAAAGAGAGGCTATAGGCAAGTCAGGGAATAGTAAAATGGATAGTAAATTTCGTGTTAGGAAATTGTTCTGACCACTTGCGGATTGATGGAGATCATTTCACAGAGGGGAAAAGTCCAAACCTCATTAGCTTTGTCTGTTAAAATGTGTCATGCATCCAGATGGCAGCAGGTACTTCCTTTCATGGGATTGCATATACGTGCCAACTTTAATTGCCATTTTGTATAGCTATTACTACTGTATTCAAGTTTTTAAAACTTGGTAAGGTTTTCACAGGTTCTCATTCAACTTGTAGTTCTCAGGGTATTATATACCATTTGTCAGAAATGGTGTAGGGTCTCCTGCTTGGGCGGAAGGTTGGACTAGATGACCTACAAGGTCCCTTCCAACTCTGATTATCTGTTAAATCTAATAAAAAATCCCATAGATATGGATTTCTTTCATCAAAATCCTCACCGACTGCTGATAATTTACTTGTAAATTAATGTTTGTTCAGAATTATCTGCTTTATTGACATAAAACAGGGGAGTTTATGAAGGTGGTTAAATTTCATGTGCATAGGAAACAAATAATGTACCCTGTTTCTCCAACAATACGGCCTCCCCCAATAGGAAGTCCCGGCATGTTTTACAGGCATGAAATGAAATTAAGCCCCTCCCCCCAAATTAAGGCCTATATTAAAACATGCGAAATGGGAATGGTGGGGGGGCTTGCTGTTAGGAAGTACTTTTGTTGCACACCCGGATATGGTGCTGCCTGCGTTGACCCCGATACAAAGTGCCCCACCACAAACTCTACACGTCAGTCGCACAACTGACGTTGTATGACCTAAAGTACGAGATTCACTTCCCACCAACAGCAAACCTTCCCCAACTAATGTTGTACGTACTAAGGTCCAAGATTCTCTTCCCAGCACCAGCAACCCTACTCCAACGTCTCATGGCCTACCAGGTAAGCAAATTAGCCCACCAGTGATCACTATGACTACTCCACAAGTAGACATGCCACCGCCGACACCTGCCACACTCAATCCACAAGCAGTACCATTCCAGCCACAACCTCCACACCACCCGAGCTCACAGGCACAACAAGATAACCGCGGCCAGCCTACACAGCAGCGTGAAGCTCCACTATCGCCTCTGGAATGGCAGAACAACATTCTCCGTAAGCACTGGGAGGAAGGCTACAACCCATCGTTGACATACAACCCAAACCTACCCTACGAGAATCCAAGGGAAGACCTCTCTATGTCAAGGCCTCAACCCAACTCTACAGACGATGCAGACTACTGGACACAGTTGGCAGTAAGCAGAGGAAAGCTAGATTTAGCCGCTAACGGTGTATACAAATTCTCTGATGAGCCAGGCGGTGAATATCTCCTATGGAAGAAAGTTTTCCTGCGCCCCATTTAGGCTGCACGCCTGAAATACGATGAAGTACTCATACACTTGATGGCATGGCTAGGGCCACAGTCTGCCAGAGATACAAAAGCCTCCCACTTTATGCCTCCTACTTAGACTATGCAGACGTTGCCCTACGGTTGTCATGGCAAAGACTCAACAATCTGTACGGCGCTGCCTCGGACATACAATCAACGCTCCTGGATAACCTCCACAGATTTCCTAAAATTCCTATCGGCAAGCCGCACCTGATCACGGAACTCTCTAATCTACTCATACAACTGAAAGAGGCACAACGGGATCCCAAGTTACCGGGACTTGCTTGTCTTGACCAAGACGACATGCAAAACAAGATCGTTCGAAAACTCCTGCAGGTGCTAATTGAACAGTGGCTCCAGATGTCCGACGCTTTCCTGGCCAAGGGTCGCCACAACTTTATACCCTTTACCATTCTCGAAGAATTTTTTGCCCACCAGGCAATAGTGTGCAACTCCTCCCGGGCCCGCCGCATTCAGAGCTGTTAACCCTCCCAATGAAAAACGATACAACAGCAACCATATATCGTCCACAGGCCCTATGCACACTGCAAGGGAAAGACCCTTCACGGCTGTCCATAAGACAGAGGTATACTCCTCAACCTTCAAGAGTTCAGCAGCTGACTCATCAGATACAACCCAGTTTAGATCTCCACATACAAGGAGAATACAGTTTTGTCCTATGCACCACACTCATCACTCGCTGAACAGATGCACTGGGTTTGCAGCGAAAATCACTGACCCAACGAAAAGAGTTGATAAGGGAGTACCAATACTGCTACAAATGTTGCGAATCCAAACACCCGTCCAAGTACTGCACAGCCAAGGTGCAATGTGACTTATGCAATAGTGACCAGCGCCCAACTGCACTCCATCCAGACTCCGAGCCGCCACTGCAGATATCTCGTAGCCCTCCTTCAGACAAGGAGCCTCAACGTAACACATAAGCATGCAGGGCTCCTCAGCAGACTGCCAAACTGCAACCAAAACCAAGGATGAGTGTCAACTGCACAGCACTGTGGGCCAACTCACCATGTCCTCGTTCGTGTCTTCCCATCTGTTTAGCCAAAGTGTACCCTGAAGGATGCCCTGAAGATGCTGTGAAACTGTACATGTGGATAGACACTCAAAGCACCTGCACCCTGGCCAGGCCCACATTCTTCAACCTCTTTGAGGTGCAACAGGACAAACTTCACTTCACTGTATCAACGTGCCATGGACCAAGAAGCACGGCAGGGAGGAGAGCTACTGGACTCTGCATAGAGTCATTGGATGGAAGTTCCCAGTTCCCACTGCCACCTGTGTTTGAATGCGATGAGGTACCGAACGACCGCAGTCAGATCGCAACACCTGAGGTCATAAGTAGCATGCCTCACCTACAGCACCTGGCTCATCACTTCCCCACTCTAGATCCGGAGGCTGAGATCCTACTCTTGCTGGGAAATAATGCCCCACACGCCTTTCTCTTCTCCGAGTC